CATACAAGCTTTTTTGCAATATACATGAAACTGTTTCCCGTATCTCATTTTCCCCTCCTGTTTACAAGCAGTGCATTGATCAGCAGGAACATCCAGAGATGAATAAAAACGCACATTTGCATACACATACACACACTTGCACAATGCTGTCATTTGACACTGCCACAACCACCTGGTCGGCTGCATGTGCGTGCGTTACAACCTCGTCTGCACAGCTAGAATAAGGGCTGCATTGAAGCTATCCCCAACCACAGACACAAATCCTCACACACACACACACACACACACTTGCACAGATATGCTGTTTTTCCCAGCCTGCCATGTAAAATCGAGCTGCACCTGCTTGCAGAGGAATGCAATGTGATGTCATCTCAGCTGTGAGTGAGGGGCACTTACCGCTGAGGGGGAAAAAAAAAAGAAACTCCTCTGGGCTTATGAGTAGCCTTCTGGAGGAATCCACACAGCATGAAGTCATCCTGAAAAACTGTTTTCGGGGTATTTCTGCTGCTCCAGATGTTGTTAAACCACACGTCATACAGAAAATCAACAGTGTAAGGATGGAGGGGATGAGATGGACACAAAGTTAAATAGCGCTGGCATCATTTTATCTGTGCATCACTTTGTTTGTAGTGAATTTGCCCGATGACTTAGACTCATTGCGACTCATGCTTAATTCATCAGTGTTCATTGTTTCAATTTAGTACAACAGAGCTAACAACCCACCAAAACTAACGGACTACATCTCTTCGTCATGCTAATGTTATTAGCATTTTAACCTTTAGAGGGAACATATTTGGCACAAGAAAAAAAGCCTCCATGTTTTATTAAATCAATATGAAGAAATGTCTTATGTTCATCATTGTGGTTGGCCTAGAAAGTAGATAAAGAACTTGTACAAATATAGGCTAGTAGCATGCTTAAAGAAGATCCAATTAAACAAAAAGTAATGATTGTTACTAATAACAAGGAAAACAGGGATTTCGTTCCATTGGTTCATTATTCATAATTGACTCATTCATGAAAACTTTTCTCTCTTAAAACTAAAAACTTGGGGAATTGAAACCATTTTCAGTCATTTGAAGCACTCACTGCTCCCTGAAACACAGAAAGCTATCTAATGGAAGCTAGCCCAGCAGTGGTTTTGGCACGTCTCCACTTGTTTTTCATAAACTAGGTCACCTAATGATTTTTGAAAGTGTACGAGGAAATACTGTGGCTCTGCTGGGAAACAAGGGAAAGAAAGTAACAGAGAGGGAGAAAGCATGTTATTAGAATTGGTATCCAAACCAATTTTAGCCATTGCTTTGAGGAAAGGCTTGACATGCTAATTACCATCCTAGCTCCCATCTCGCCCCCACTCCACTTCAACATATAAAATGCAAAATTTCATCCCAAAATAGGAGAACCACTGCTTGCTTCCTCAGTGCTTGTAGAGCACGGGCTTTCTGCAGGAGTGGAGAAAACAAGTGGCTCCTAACGTAATGTGACAGCATGGAAGGACCCGCCAGGGCTACCACAGCACATATGCATTCATTAACATATTGTTAGAATGACGCTTGGACTTAAACCTACACACATGCACACAGTGTTATAGCTGGATTAAGCCTTGGGCTCAGCACATTTGCTTCGGCATAAAATGTGACATATTGCCGGGAAGCAGTGTATCTTTCATTTGTATAAGTGGACGCTGTGGTGAGCTGCTTTTAACACATTTAAGTTGTTTATTTCTGTACTCCATATGGTCCCACAGGCTATGCACTGAAGGCTGGGGTTAATTCAGATTATGTTGAGTCACTTTGGATTTTCAATTCAAATTCAAATTTGAGGCCAGATTTACTAACATATTGCACCACCACAAACCTTAAAAAAAGGTATTGTTGTTATTTACAGAGAGCACAGTGAAAAATTAGGTGTAAGATGTGGGAATACTTTTGCAACATATCCTGTTCCTGTGTATTTCTGGGAGTTCCTTCCTCAAGGTGCAAACTTTAGGGAGGCAAACAATAAAATCAAGCGTGCAAACTGATTTACAAATGTTTGTGACATGCAATTTACTGCTAAATGCACCAATAACGCCAAAGAAGCCTGTCTAATTTTTGGTGCTTGATATTGAAATGAACTGACTTATATATTCAATCAAATAAATGCTTCTTGTATTTTGACAGCATCCGAAGAAAACAATGTGATAAAGTATGACTTAAGATATTTTAGTCCTCGCTTGTTCAACTGGTTGCATTAAACTAATTCCCCTCCTTTCACAGCATCTTTCCTTATCAGTCTTTGTTATCTGCCCGGCAACAACAGAGAGATTTTTAACTAAAGTAGGTCATCAGTACATAATATAACCAGTCAATATTTCAAACACTTAGAGTAAATCTTATATTATCCCTCTAATAATTTAACAGCTTTATTCATTTTTTGTTTTCCCTTCATAGGTGACAGTGGAAGCCTCTTTTTTTCTCATACCTGTGAAACTGTTGTTTAAATCCAGTTCGGAGTAAAACTAGGTCACAGTTTGCATTTGTATAAACATGACAGGAAGTTTTTAAGTCGCTGTTGGTTTCTAAAAAAGAAAATGAAGATTTCTCCTGTTTAGGTCCATCCATCCACCCCAGCCTCCTCCTTGTCAGGGATTGCCACCTTTCTTTTGCTATTGACTTAAAATGATTTTTAATTATTTATTTACTTTAAATTAAAATGTTCACAAATAGTTGCTGGTGCCTTATTTTACCTCAAATGCACAAGACTTAAATGTGCTTCATTTGAAGCAGACTAGTATCAAAATATCTAGTTTCCTTGTTTATATTTATAGCACTCTAATGATTAATACTGTACTGCTAATCTTTCTTTCCCGATAGAAACCCTTCATTTCTTAATAGGGCTTTTATTTTATATCATATGACTACTGTTGTGTCCCCTCCCCCGTGTTTGTTCATGTTTACCAGACCCCCTTCCTGTCTGACTTCAAATTGACTACCGGTTGAGGAAATACGGTTTGCTTGGGGGCTTTGTCCGAAACAGTACAGTGAAGACAGGAAATTAGAAAATAAGATAGCGGGGCATGGTGTGGCAACAAAGACTGTCTCTGTTTTATTTACTATTTATTAATAAATAGTCCAAATAAAGTTAAGGTTCTTCTTGATTAGCTTAGTTTTTTCCTTTTTTTCTGTCTCTGTTTTGCATCTGTTTTCTCGCTTCGTCTCCTCGCGTTCATACATTGAGCACACACTGATGCAGACACGAACATATAGACGCACACGCGCACAGACTAATCATAGCGTGTGTTTTCCTGTGCTGTGGTCGCAGCAGGCGTTGACCATGAAGCAGAGTTCAACAGTAAATCATCCAGACTGTGCCGCCCTGCTTATTAATCTCTTTCAAACATAAACAGAAAGCACACGCACAAACTGCGTGGGGCTTAGCACATGCATGCAAACAGATGTGCGACGGGCAAGTGTCCTTTTCACATACATCGTACCAGTGCATTTATCACTTCTTTTTGTTAATGATTGTGAGTGACAGTTTCTGTTAGGGCTGCTCACTTCAATCATTTCAGGAAGTGGATTTTCCCCCTTCAGACTTTAAACTGGAAGTATTTCCCACAGCAGAACGATTGAGGATGAAAGCTCTGTCATTATCATTCTGAATTGCAGTTTCGATTTACATTTCGGGAAATCAAAGGAGATCTCACTGCCAGTCCACTCTCCGCCTTTGCCTCCTTTTAGTTTTTTTTGGTAGTTACCATTGTGTGTCAACCACTGCAAGACTGGCACACATTAAAGACCAACAGGGGTCTAAAAGATGGATGTGCAGGGGAAGCTGTTGCTTGGTATGAAAGTGAAAGGCCTGGAAAAAGAACGACATCAACCTTACTTAAACCTTGTTTTGTTGCTTCTTTCTTCGGGCTGCTTTGTCCCGGTTGGCTCGCTGAATGTGTGTCAAGTTCTGTTTTTAAATGAATCATCACAGAGATCAAAGCCTGATTCTGGAGCAGGGTTTTACTTTTTATTAACCGTGTTATTCCTGAGCTGTAGTATTTACCCAGAAGCCACAATCAATTATCCGACGCCCACACCGTTCTCCCCCGCTCCCCTTCTCCCCCACCCTTTTACTCTGCTGGCTTTTATGAAGTAATTTATCATCGCTCCAAAATACTGATTGCATCAGCCGGAAAATTTACCGTTGCTACCACTTTATCCTCTCTGAAAAATCTTCTTATTTCCTGCCATATCTTTATCTGTGGGCTTGTTTCCTTCTTTTTTCTCTTTTCACTTAGTTTTCCCCATTTTTTTCTCTTTTCATCATGTCCTCTCTCACAAATGATCATCCCTTCTTCATACTCTTTTGGTCTTTTTTGTTTTGTTTTGTTTTGTTTTATGTCTGAGCTCTGTCTTCTTTCTTGTCCCTCCCTTTCGTTTGTATCTCTGTGGTGCATTCCCTTTCCTTGTTGCCTCTCCTGTTGCCTCTCCTCTCCTCTGCCTAACTAACCAACCCAGCGAGGCCCATCAGACTGCTAATGAGAACCTGAATGAGTCCTCCAGGGGTCTCTAATGATAGTTTCTCTCTATGTGTGTGTGTGTGTGTGTTAGCAGAAATGCCCACAGACTCCCACAAGCAGTGACTGTGTCTGTTTTCAGTGTTGCAGTGTTTGCCTTCAGAGGAATTTGGCAGTTTAGTGCGTGACTGACGTGTCTGACTGTGAGTTTTAACTGCGTGTTTGTGTATTTGTGTGTGTGCCCCTTTTGCAGGCCCCTTCCTGTGCCTCATGGCCTCTGTTACAGTGCTGTGATTGGTAGCTTTCCCTTCATATGTCAACATATTTCAACATATTTTTTTTACTTTTCTTCAGAGCTGGTAGATATAACATCTACTGAAATCTGAATGCTAACCCTAACCTGTTGATACTTGGTTTATCTTACAGGTGTAAACTGTTAATCATAGCTTGCCAGCACCTTGTACCTGTGCGTGCTGATATGTAATCCTTTCTGTTTTCTCTTCAGGCCTTTGGGAATGCTAAGACGGCCCATAACAACAACTCCAGCCGCTTTGGGAAGTTCATCCAGGTCAACTATCAGGAGAGTGGCACAGTCAGGGGGTGAGAGATGCATGCTGACATATAAAACACATCTATAGAAGCCATATCTAGAGCTGGACCGATATTATTTGCCAGTGTATCGGCATTTATGAGACAGAGGGCGCTCTGCAACTTAGCTGTTGGCAACATGTGCTTGGAACACCACAAACAAAACAACGAGCTGATCCGAGCAGAGTCGGGCAGTGCATCAAGCGATCCACGACTTTTGACAATAAAACAAGATTACATGTCCTCGCTGTTTAAAGGAAGCAGCCGAAAGTAGCTTATTGTCATATTGTGTTAATAAAGAGTCATAAATTACTACATGCATGAAATGTTAGTTAAAAGCTTTTTGTTTAAAACAAAAAAAAAATATTGGGCCATTTATATGATTTTAGAATCATAGGCTGCTGGGGGATTCCCATGATGCATTGAGCATTTCTTCTTCAATCACCTTTCTCACTCACCATGTGTTAATAGACATCTCTGCATCAAATCATTACTTGTTATTAATCTCTGGCTCTCTTCCACAGCATGTTTTTTAACCTGTTTTCCTTCTCTCACCCAAACCGATCACGGCAGGTGGCCCCGCCCCTCCCTGAGCCTGAGGAGGAGGTTTCTTCCTGTTAAAAGGGAGTTTTTCCTTCCGACTGTCGCCCAAGTGCTTGCTCATAGGGAGTCAAATGATTTCTGGTTTTTTTCTCTGTATGTATTATTGTAGGGTCTACCTTACAATATAAAGCTCCTTGAGGCGAGTGTTGTAATTTGGCGCTGTATAAATAAAACTGAATTGAATTGAATAGAATCACCAAATATTGTTATCAGTCTTAAAAATCAATATATCGTTCCAGCTCTACTAGATACACATTTCATGTTGTTTTACTCGTTTTTTGTTTTTTTTTTTAATCAAAAATTTGTTTTGTTTTGTTTTCTTATTTTTGTCTGTCACTTTTGGTCAACAGCTTTTGTTTTTAAAGGTGTTATAAAAATGAATCTGACTTGAGAAATAATTTAATAACAGATATAATAGCAGAATAATGCCTACAATTTATGTATATTATTATTATTAACTTTATATATCTCTTAATATTGTGCTATGATTTATAAATATAAACATGTAAGTTACAAAAAACAACATTCAGCCATTATTGACGTGCGATTATGTAAATTCTCATTTGACAAACTATTAAAAACCACAATTCAGATAATTATACCTCTTACCTCTTCCTATTGTCTGCTAATCTGTTAAAACGCCCTGTTTAGGATGAGTATGGCAAAAAAAAGCACATTCAGTGTCCATGTGATATTGAAACATTGTTCATTTCTGATCATAATTACAGCAGCTTGTTCTTAAATTACTCTTGTGACTTAGTGCGGCTGCATTTATGTTTATTTCCAGCGCATACGTAGAGAAGTACCTGCTGGAGAAATCACGTCTGGTGTACCAGGAGCACAATGAGAGGTGAGTGCAGATCACATATTGTTTGTTTGTTTGTTTGTTTTTCTTCTTCTTTTTTTGCTGGATAAACCCATACAGACATCATTAGAAGATTTGTCATCTGCAGCACTTGGCTCACTTTCCACATTGTTTCATCAGTATGGATCGCTGCTTTATCACACCTAGAATGACTCAGCAGCAGCTCTCATGCTTTTGTATGTAAATAACATCTTGTTAATCAGAAAGAATCCAAGTCTTTGCTTTGTGTGGATTTAAAATCCATCAAAAATAATCTGTTTAACTTTGACTCCACCTTTAACGGAAATCCAATTTTTCCTGTGAACATTTCTAAAAGGTGAAAATAACGAACTTCAATAAGCGCAGCTAGAGGTGGTGCAGCCATAAATAATCTAAATATGATACATGAAACACTGAGACACTTCCACTTGCCTGAAAGCTAAGATCTTAAATGCGTATCTTTTCGCTCACATGCTCTTTGTCTAAGAAACTCAATGCTGAAATAGTCTTCATTTCCCCTGCAAGGATATATCAGGTGGCCATCTGACTGAAACCTCTGCCCTTTGTTTAACTCTCAGGTTTTCCTCTGAGTTTAGGCATTTATTGACACAGAATGGGACAAATACTGTGATACAGATTTCGAGATATTACATAAGGAGTCATATTTCCTGTCCAGTATAACAGTGTAAAACTGTCTGTTTTTACTTTTTATACGTATAAACACACTCACATGTGTATGAAGAACTCATCTACCTGACGTTGGGCATATGCACGCACATGCACGTGTCTCCACCTGCACCCACATCCTATAAATAGCTTTACTTGTCTCAGGTAACACAGAGACACACCCTAACAGTTCATCATATCGCTCCCAGGTGACAGTAAAAAAAAAGCCACTGATCCCACCAGCATAATAGCTTCATGCGTGGGGAGGAGGGGAACTGTCCAACAGTCATCTAATCGCTCTAACCCTGACTGGTCTGGGCTTTTTGTTTCATCCTGATGACAGGCTCTGGCGGCCATATTGATAGGATAGAAACTAAAGTCAGGACCTCCCAGACGGTTCATCCTTGAACCACAGAGGTGGGGGAGAAGGATGATAAACTGCAAACTATCTTAAATCTTAAAGTCGGTTCAGTGGCAGGTTGCCTTTGTACGATCCCACCGGAGAGGAAAAAGCACTAGGGAGTGAACTAGCTGAACTTTCCAGGGATACTGTTGGGGCTTAATGACTCTGCAGAAACTACAAGGGAGGGGGCTTTACTGTATTCAAGAGCCGTCACGCAAATCCCAAGTGTGGATACTGTTTTTGCTTGTTGGTATTTTTTGTTATTGTTGTTATCTTATAAGTTGCCCCTGTTTTATGTTGTCTAACGCATTGAATGAGAGACCCCATTTTTCCCACATTATTTTCTTCTTCCTGCCGGTTAAATGCAGAACTGAATTTAAAATTCTTCTCCTCTCATACACAATCTTGAATAATCAGGCCTTTCTTCTGTGGAACCAGAAGATGATTTTGGAGACATGCACCCTGGAATCTTTCGTGTGGAATCACAAATGAACTTAAACTGAAGATTTAATACTTAATACAGTGTTCAGCTGATAGCCTCCCATTTATGTTTCACTGCTTCATTCAGGCATTCAAGTCATTGATTGGTGTATTTGAATGAGAGCCTGATGGATTACATAAGTTTTCTGGGCAAAGCCATGGTACCTTACCTACATGAACTCTGCTTTTCTGGTCTTACAAAAATAAAAGCCCAAAAAAGACTGAAAGCAGTCGATCACGAGGTTTGCTACTTGATACTGTATTCTGGTCAGCGGTTAGTGTGAAGAAAAACTCTGTGGCAAAAAAAAGGTTGTAAAACAGTTCTTTGTGGAAGGTCAGAAAGAATAATTTGGGGTTGAGTGCATTTGTTTCTTTTGTGTTTACGGTTGCGTTCAGGGCAAATGACGAGTAACCTTTGCCCTGTAACAGCTGGATTCATTAAGCAACTTTATCTGGATTCATCTGGATAACTCATTACTGCCAAGTCCATGTATTATTTACCAAACCTGTATACATGCAGTTCATGAAGCTCAGAGTAAAATATCGCAATACTTTGGAATCGGATGTAGAGATTATGTAATAGCATCTTTTATTTGAGAGGTGCGATGATAGAAAACGTGAGCTTACAGGTTGGGAGTCTTTAATATCCTCCGTGGGTTTTATAAGTTTCCACCACTCCATCAAACAGTAAGTGTCCCTCTGCAGAGAAGGGAAACTCGTTTCCAGCTGTAATAGAATTACCTCTCAGCGCACTGGCCAAAGCCCCAGCCTTTGTCACGGTTAATCACAACTCATTACCTTGAGCCCACACACCACACTGCCGCTTTGTTTGTCTTGAAATGTGAGACCGCCGGGTCAGAGGGGTGACTTATCTGTTACATGTTGCAGGTTTGTTTTAAGAAATGTTCCGCAGATAACGCGAAAGGAGTCTCCTCCTCAGGGGCCGTTTCGGCACAGCGGGGAGATATGAAAGCTGCTGTCCTTAGTTCACCTCTGAGGAAATTTAAAAGAAATTAATACAAGAAAAATAAATCTTTTTCTTTTTTTTCCTTCTTCACCGTCTAACTCAGGAGTATCAAACATAAGGCCCAGGGCTCGGAATCGGCCTGGCAAGAACTCCAATCCGGCCCACTGGATGCGTTTGGAAAATATAAAGGGGGGCATAAATTTTAGACTGTAATCAAGTAATAGATAAACACTTAAAACAAAGAAAAATTCTTGCTTCTTTTCAGTATTTACTACAGACATTTCTATTTTTGTACAACGTGTCCACAGTTAAATAATAATTAACAAAATCGTGCTGTTTTAAAACTACAGGACAGTCAGGCTTTTTCTGTAATTTTACACATATATTTCTTACAGTTTAAGCACATTTATATCAGCAGCAATTCTTTATCATGTACAAAAACTGACATATACAGTTGAAAAATCACTTCTTTTTCTCATACTGAGGTATCCAAGGGATTAAACGTACAGTTAAACTTCTTTACACTGACAGAAATGGGATTTTCTCCAGTCTGGCCCACTTAAGATCAAAGTGAGTTGGATGTGACCTACGAAAAATATAAAGAACTTTGACATCAGTGCTCTAATGTGTTTCTGTGTGTTTCTGTAGGAACTACCATGTGTTTTACTACCTGTTGGCTGGAGCCAGTGAAGAGGAGAGGAAGGCCTTCCACCTGCTCAAACCTGAGGAATATCACTACCTCAACCAGGTCCGCACACAAAAACACACACGCCCAAACATAGATACAAATAGCAAAGTGGGTGCTGCTTTCTAGAAAAGCTTCACGTTATTCTATTATATTTTATTATCTGGCAAGTCATTCAAATCCAGTTTCTGTCTGTTAAAATATGAATCGATTAAAGCTCCAGCAGCACTTGAAATGTGAAGAAACAGCTTTATTAATTTGACTGATAAGCTTTGGATAAAGGCCTCAATTTGGTTCATCACCAAACAGGTTACAGTGAACATTTTAAACAGCTTACGTAAAACAACCAATCATATATGTCCAACTTAGACAGTCATCAGTGAGGCACGAATAAGGATGGAGTGAGCACGTGCTTGTGGTTTAATGCACATCATTGCCAATGGAAACCAACACTGGTTTTAGAATATCTCATTGCCTGCTATATTCAGTTTACATGTAGTAAATAGTATGTAGTGTGATCAGTAAAATGTGTGATCTTATATTAAAATAATAATATAACTGATGGCATTTTGGGAAAAAATTAAAAGACTTTTTTTTTTAAAATTACACATAAACAGCCCATCAAAATGATACAACTATGAAATATAAATATCTAACATGAACATCAAGTAACCTTCCTCACTTAAGGCAGGATTATCCACAAATCCTAATTTACCGTAGCCTAATGCAGTACTATAGCACTATAGACAGAAATATGTCTGTAGACTTTGTCAGGATGTATTTATTATCAGATATAATCAGATATATCCGGACCTCTAATTTAAAACAACAAAAATTCAGATATAAACAATTTCCAGATGAGATAATGAGTTACAAATGAAGACACAATCATTATAGCAGGGATGGAAAGCTTGAGTCTACAAAGATTTTAAACTGATAGCATGTTAACCGATGCACATCAAAGCCTTTTTTTTAAAAGATGTAGGGCAAAAAAATGCTAATTTTATGTAAATGATTCATAAAAAAAAGCAAATATTCATCCCAAATGAAAACCGGGTTAAGTTATTATTGATTAGTAAAGCTGAAAAATCTCTGCTGGATCTTATTTACTCACTTAACTCAACTGGGACACATACATATCTTTGACTGCCAGAAATTCAACTGTTTTTCTCACATGTATGTGCGGCCGAGTGTGCATACATGCCTGGTCACATGCCAAAAGCCCCCCCCCCCCCCCCCCCCCCCACCCCGTGTGTATCTTTTGCAGTACATCTGTGTGTTTTGGCAGCTGATGTGTGAGGATTCATATTCCCTCATGCCATGAAGGTAGCACACTGGAAAGATGAAAAAAAGATTCTCTCTCCTCATCTGCCCAAAAAATAAAATTTTTCTCCCCCGTTCTCTTTAATCTCCCCAACAACAACAGCAACAACAACCCCCTCTTGTTAGCTGCCAGCTTACTTTGCAGCTCTGTTTCCATGGCAACTGCAAAACTCACGACTCAGTCTGGCGCTGACGAGGACTCACGCAGAGGCTGCCGGCAGTCGTGTAGTGGTGCGCACTTACGCACACGCCGATGTCACAGAAGAGCAGAGCGATTGTGCGTACTTAGCTCTTTGTGTTACTCTGTGTTTCTCGGTGGATTTGACTGAAGTACATTTGCTCAAATACTTCAAAGCTGTGCCCCCTCTTTACTGTGCAGTGCACTTAACTTACTGTGGTTTTTGAGAGTGTAGATCTGCTGACTGAAGCCAGTGTGAAAGTGCCTTAAACATCAGTTCTTTCAGTGGCCAGAAAGGGATGTCTCCTCTGCTTGCAACAACACCACTGGTTTCCTTATAAGACGCCTACGAGGAAACCTTTAGTGTGCAGAATTGCTACTTCCAGGTCGTATTGAGCAGAACACAAAGTTAATTTTGTGGATTTAACTGGTAAATTTTATGGTCATTGAATCAGAACGGAAAGCGATCCAGGATATTGTCATCAGCTAACAATCTGCTGCTAGCCAGCCTTTTTTGGTGAGTCTTGTTCCTCAGCTCAAGGCTTCCTAACTAGACTTCATTTACCACTGAGTTACATCGTGGTGGCTACGTCTGTTCTGTATGTCTTAGCACGTGTCAGTCAAAGCAGCAACATTTCATAACTTTAAGACTTCACAAAATCTAAACTATTGAGTTCCAGTGGTCTATCCGATATCCCTGTGTTGGTATTGTTCCTATATCATCATAACAATGCTGGTCCAGGATCAGCATTGCAACTGACCAATCACTTTATCTGAACAATTAGTTGGCATTAGCCAAGAAGTTAGCTGATGCTAGCACGAGTAAATTTAGCTTATAGCAAACCTTACTCAGTAATATATTTGCTACACTGCTAATTATTAAAGAAAACACTTGTTTACTTTTTGTTTTAGAAGAGAGTTTTATATAAACAGGCATTTTTCCCCTTTTTCTGCCATGTTGTGATGTCAAGGCTAAGACATCACAGCGTAGTTTGTCCATCCACGATGATCACTGCAAATGACAATGTTATGATGGTATGGGATACCATCATAACATCATAACGGATACACTGTCCCAATGTTAGGAAGGGTGTTTTTGACACTTGCACACTGGATTAATTTCTGCTTATAGCTTTAGTTACTAATTCCTTTACTGATTGTGATTTACACATTAGAAGGTGTTGCAGTGTGATACAGATTTAAGCTTAAAGTTAATGTTTAGGATAACTTAGGATAAATAAATCACTAACTTAACCAGTCTGAATTTAAAAAAAAGCAAAATGATTAAAAACACAACTATAACATTAAGGAATCAACAGCATTTATCCAGTTGTGCTATGATAGTATTGTAGTAGTTTTAATTTAGATAGGAAACGCTTTCAAAATTGTAATTAATTAATATTTGCCACTACTTTTACTTACATAAAATATCTAACTACTTTTTGCACCACAGATGGTGTGTTTTTTTTCCAATGCCAAACCCTGATGAGGTCATCGGGGTTTCATTTTCGTGACTCTGTGGATGTGTGTCTGTTTTCGTGAGATTCTTTTTCTCCCCTCACGTCTTAACAGTATGCGTCATTGCTTCCTCAGTCTTTTTAAAGATTGCATTTTCATACTGTACGTATGTGTAACTCAAGCCTTCTTAACCCGCTCTGCCTTACTTCCAGATGACAAAGAAATCGCACAAACTCTACTGGGACAATTACTATGAGAGTGAGCTGGTCAGTATCGTGTGGATGACAAGCTGTTTGTGTACGTCTGTGTCCATGGGTGTGTCGTGGTACACTGGGTTTTTGGTGCCAGTCTTAGTCTTGTTCTTTCTTGGCTTTCCACACCCGCCCGCTTTCAGTGAAAAAGATGGAGGCGACCTGGGCTGACCTCCGCCGGTTGTGCTCTAAAATGTTTAAAGGGATTCCTTAGTGTAATCTTTTGACTGTATTTGGCTGTTCCGTCTCAAGACGTTTGCTCTTTGTACTTTGTCCAGTAACTCAAGGTTTTTGCCTGTTTTTCAAAGTAAATGAATCTCTTTCTCTCGTTTAAAAAAAATAAAATGACGGGTGACGACATGCTTATTAACAGTATTCGGACAATAAGGCATCCCTTTAAACTTGTCCTTTGGCTTTTGCGTGCTTTGCTTTTGGGGAATAGGTGACAAATTCAACACTACCATCTTTAAAGGGAAGGTTCAGGATCTTAATGTGAGTATGACAGAAGTTTTGCAGTTTTGGTTTGTTATCACAGAGCCACAAAAACTGCTGATATTGATAGCATCGATTGCTTACCACAGTAAGGAGGGAAAGGAGTAAGAAGAACCTTCAAGCACTCAAAAGTGTCGCTGATCCAAATGATACTAGTAACCATGTTCAAAACGAGAAGCAGACTTGCAGCAGCGACACTTTCCATCAATGTTAAACAAGCATTTGTGGTGAGGGCCTTCAAGTATGTTGACTAGGATGTAAATTTAACATAATTTCATGCTTCGCGGTAACATTAAAGATAGGGCAAGCGCTAACCTGAACAATTGGTAAAATACTCCTAAGTCTATTAGTCAGCTTGAGCAGTGGTCAATTAGCTTCACATCCTGAAACTTCCCTCTAGCTGTGTGGTCCGTTTTATGTGTGTTTGTGTGTGTTTTTGCCGTTTCATTGGTCTCTGAGCCTGCCCGCTGTCTTGCCAGCCTCCACCTGAAGTGAGTAATGTTTGGTCAGTGGGATTTGTTGTGTTTGTTTAAAGGCCCCTGTATCTGCTAATGGGAGATTATGTTACTTAGACTTTGCTGGCGAGCAAACACTTGACATGAGAGTTGGTCAGTATAAATACGACCTGTGGACTTACTGTATTTCACTCTTGACTTTGGCTTTTTCAACTCTTTGTTTCTTAGCTCTGAAACATTTCTTTTTGTTATGAATGAAAACAAATATTTTGAGTATTCTCTAAAAAGCTCTCATTGGCGTTGTGAATCCCTATTAATTTTACAAGCTAATGGACTTTTCTCATACCACACCTGCAGAATATCCTTTACTTCATATCTTGCTTGGAGGCATTTAACAACATAAAGTACAGCGATAGCACACATTTATACTCAACTTGTTTTTGTCTTTAAACGGCTATAATCTGTTACTGCACGCCCATAACAAAGTCATGATAAAATAACGTGATATTTACAATCCCCATATATTATTACCTGCATGCCTGTATGTTGTCAGTACAAACAATGGCAGTAAGAAACATTGTTGTAAATATAGCTCTAGGTAATATTATTATTACTTTGAACTTCAGATCAAACTGTTGACCTTGAAGGTTAGTTCAGAGGTAAAACGTGACATATTTTAAGTCTTACTGTACTTTGTGCATGTTGGCAATACACACCACACTACGAATCGTACTTTAGTTTTTAGGCTTTTTTGTCAACCATGAGCTCAAACACCAGAAACATAAGCTCCTTGGCTGAGGTAGCATACATAACAACTGCTTATAAGAAGAATCATTTAAGTCATGCTGAACATGTGGCTTTTGCTGCAGGAGTGGTTTGAGAAATTTCTGTTGAGGTTTTTAAGATACGATTTGTGTTCCTCTCTTCATTTGATTCATGCTGTATCTCTGCATCATTTGCACCATTTACAGTAAATGTTATGAAGCCACGTTAATTACTGTGCTACGCTTCTGAGGCCATTGGATTTTCAAGAAATTGGTGCAAACACGAGATCCTACAAGGATCCAAGAAGCCAGGCGTGAAACTATGACGTTGTTGCTGAACCGGACCAGTTAGCAATCTTCCATGAAATTGGTTTCACTTAAGTGTAGCTTTTTTAATCTTAGATTTAATAGACTGTTTTTAATTAGATTTCTTTCTTTTATTATATTTTTTGCAAGGGAAGCAAAAAGGCATACTGTTAGGCCCTAACCTCTGTACACCATCACCAATTTTAGATCAAACCATCAACATGTGATTGAAGTTTGGACTTAACTCAAGGGTTTAACCAAAGGTTTGTAGTAACTGTTTAGGAATTACAGCCATTTTCATTCATAGTCCCCCATTTTCAGAGGCAGAAATTGCAAAGGGAAAATTGACTGAAAAGCGGTTTCATGGCCTGTTCCCTCTTTATTTCATGAAGCAGATAAACGATCTGTAGTTAATTCCAAGTGTTAATCTAGCGTTAGGTAGCTGTTCATTGGACCTTTAAATGCCAGTGATGGCATGAGGAAGGCCGTCATTAGCCAGGAAAAAAACAGAAACCCCCCCCAGAAAAACATAACAAACTTTACGAAGAGTGACTGCACCGGCCAGCTCAGCAGTACCAAAAGTGCTGAAAGCCCACAAAGGACTAAAGTGCATGATCGCAGAATTCTTTGCATGGTAATGAAACCAAGAAAAGAATGTGGTGGTATACAGAGGTAATGTTACACAAATGTGCCAAAGTCCAAATACTTAGAGAAGCTGACTGTCTTTTTCATTATGATCCATTACTTGGAAGCTTTGCTTTAGTAAATGGCTCCTTTCTGTTATTACTTTCTCGCACAATCCTCCCATCTCACTGTTTGCTGACACACTGTCTCTCCCAGAGGTCATTGAATGACCTCATGAGAGACCCCACCACCCAAGGAGATGATGTCAGTGTCTACACACACACACACACACACACACACACACACACACACACACACACACACACACACAGAAAGAGTGGCAGCTTTTGACAGCTGCCTGATGACCTGACCAACCCTCTGGGCCTGTTTGGCCTCTGACCTCTACCACTGGTCAATGTGTGCGTAAATAGAGACGCACTTTGAGCAGTGACAAGTGTGTACAGATTCCAGATGCAGCGTCTGGGGCTTAAAATACCACTTAAACAATGAATGTGAATGAAAAATCTGAGTATTTAACTAAAGATCCTAAAGACCAAACATTTTCTGGATGTTTGCATTTGATGTGTGCAGTCTGGTGTTTGGTTCTGGGTCTCGGTGGCTGCTGGTTTGCATTTTGCGCTTGTTTGGGTATCTCTGGTTTTTGGCTGTGTGGAATGTCTAGAGATGGGTTGGCATGCTGATGTTTTTTGCACGGCTGGTCCATGGAATAAATCTTGACTAAAGTCATGGTAAATAACAGGAAAGCCTTGACTGGACGCACGTTCAGTTTTAACAGAATCCTCGAGCGATCTGTTAAAAAGCTTCATGTGCACAGTCAGCAGGGTTCCCGGCTTGATTTAATGCACCAGAACTGTTGCAACTGGCCTGAAATTACAATTTCAAGCTCTGAAGTGAAAATAGACTCTTTGTTTAAAATAAGTAAGAACAGATTGTTTCTTAATCATCACTTTACTGCACTCAACAATCCCTTGTTCTTTTCTCGACTTTTGTCTGAGCACCACGAGCTAAGGTTTTGGTTTTCAACCCAAGTATTCCATTGCAATTGCCAAAATTGATCTCTTTATTTTCTCAACTTCCTTCAACGTATCACATTGTGCTGTTTGGCGCCGATTTAAAACATACCCGGCAATTTGAAAACTGGCTTTTCCTGAGTCTCGATGTAGCTCGAGAAGCCTCAAAACCCCTTTGTTGCAATTGGAGAAGCTCACTGTAGAAATGCGCTGATTGTTGGCTCTGCAGTTCCTGACAAGTTCGAAGCCAAAGGAAAACAATGGAGAAGCAGATGAGCGTTGAATGGTAAAGGGTACAAGAGGCAGATCCAGAGTGTGGATTATGGGTTCCTGTGTCTTCTCTCGCCGGCCGGTCACTGTGGTATGTGCTAATTATGTGCCTGACAGAGGCTCGCTGCTGGAGCAGAGACACGCCGACTAACTGGAGGGCTCGAAGAGACAAACACACACGCTATGATTGTATACGTACACATCCTCGCGCTGCTCATTCCTTTGCTTTACTCATTAATTGTTAAAACACTTTCAAACACTGTGCGATGGCTCATGATTACACAGGAATGTACTTGTGTTCACTTCGCAGGGTTTCCCCCTTCAACAGCTGAAATAAACCCTGTAAACTGTATTTTCTTTTACATTCATTACACAAAGGAATGTGCAGTTTCTATAAATAATTGCTGTTAGTTGCTTAGCTGAGTCTGATGACCATGATTATAAAACAGTTTAAAGTTCAGTTTCTACATTGTGGTCCAACCCAGTGAATGTGCTTTTCTCATAATTAACTGCCATGTGTCACATAAACTCATGTTAGACTTGACTTATGAATCTAAAGACGCAAGATTCAACTTGAGGGAGGCTATAAAAGGCTGATGGGATATTGTCGTCACCCTGCTGGGCGGGCAGGCAGGAGGCCGGGCGAGACAGACACCCAAGTTTGCGAATGTGAGAACTCCAGAATGAAGAGACACAGGACTACTACTGAAAATCTCGGACGAGTTCAAATCTGAGTAACCTCGGCCTCAAGGTCAGGGGTCAGAGGTTACGTTTTCTGAAAATCTTATGAATCTGATAACTTGAGAATGAAGTGACGCAGGAGTTTCAAATTTATACCATAGGTGCATTTACTAGGAGGCTGAGGGTTAAACTGGCTGCTGCCATTATTTTCTATTTCCTAGGGGTGGTCTTTTGCTGCTAAACCTCATCTGCTTCAGTGCTTGACGTGATGCTCTGTCTGGCCTTTTTTCTCTTATGGCTAGCATCAACATTTTGGCACAAAAAAATGCTGCTCAGTGGATATTTTCTTTTCTGACCATTCTCTGTAACCCTAGAGATGATTCTGTGCTAAAATCCCAATAGAGCAGCAGTTTTTTTTAATGTTGCAGCAACAGTCATGCTGCGTTCAAAGGCACTTGCATAAAAATTAAGTCTCTGTCGCATTTTGATTTATTGAATTGCTTCTTTGTTATTGTCTGTTTTTACAAGTAGTTGAACTGGTGTACCTAATGAAGTGTCCAATAAGTTTATAAATAGAGCACATTAGTAAGACACAAATATCTAATATTTTAATCTTTGACTTTTTGCACATACGTTAGAAAATTGCAATAATTCACAATTATTTTAATTGCATTTTTAGAAAAAGCACTTAAAATAAATCTCATCAGGAGAGCTGAGGTCTTGTTATTGGGGTTCAGTGTTATTTTGCAACTTTCTTTGATAATTTGAGGAAATCGGGCACATTTTATATTAGAAGTTCTGTGGGGAAACCCTGCTTAGTGTCACAAAAAGACAGCATGCTGTCTTTTAGCTTCTGGTACACACTTTAATAACAGATACAATATAAAGAATCTTGTTTTTGTTGAATTTATGTGCTTTGTAGTGATTATGTGTTCGTCTGTTTTTGTGTGTTTCCACCTGACACCAGCAGGACTGCTTCACAGTGGAAGGAGAAGATCTAAAACACGACTTTGAGCGGCTGCAGCTGGCTATGGAGATGGTTGGCTTCCTGCCCACAACACGCAAACAGTAAGATTAGCTGCATGGCTACAACCATTAGCTTGTAACCTGTTCTTGTGTAAAACTGAGTAAGATTAAAGAACTACAAGCCAACAGTCAGAGTCTGAACGCTTTTAGAAACTTATCTCAGTACTTTTTTATTTTATTTTATTTTTTTGAAGAAACCTATGCACTGGGACAAAAAACAGGGAATTGTCTAGCTATGATAATGTTACCACACTAAAGCAGACTAGCGCTCCCTCAGTACCCCTGCTCCTCTTGATGTTTTCACCACAAAGCATTTTTAGTCTCTCACAAGGTGCTTCAGCTTGTCTCAGCAGCTCAGAGCATGTTGTGCTTTCTTGTTTACTTTTTTACAGTCTTTCTAAGATTTAAATCACTAACTGAACTAACTGTTAGCTAAAAAAAATTATTGCAAAGTGTAATTTTTTAGCTTTAGCTAAAAAAAGAAGCGTGTATTCTTATCTTACTCTTGAAAAGAAAGCATATAAATTATATAATAAAATATATAAAAAATAAATACATTTTCCCAAATTTCCCAAAACTATTTCTATAGGGCTTCATATTAATACCTATGTTTTGTAAACCACAGTTCTTGGAAATTAATCGATAGGATTAATTACTTCAGTTTTTCAGTCCCTACAATATGTATTTAAGTATAAATACGTTTTCATGATGCCCTAATATCCACTGTAAAGCCTGCTCAGTAAGAAGGTGGAGTTTGTTGATGTGATAAAGAAAAGTACCTTTGTTCCTTTTCAGGATTTTCTCCCTGCTGTCAGCCATCCTCCACCTGGGAAACATCCGCTACAAGAAGAAGACCTACAGGGATGATTCCATCGATATCTGCAACCCAGAGGTCCTGCCCATCGTCTCAGAGCTGCTAGAGGTGAGCGGCATGGTGCAGATCGTGACATCTGTCCGCCAACACTGAATCAGCAGCATTAAAGTTGATTTGGCAGACATGAGTTTATGCTTTGAATCAATAAATGTCACAGAGCTGTGTATATCCAACATTGCTCTGTGAAAATCAAATGGAAAAATTGCACATTAAGATATCTGAGGAATTTATGGTGCTGACTTTAGGCTGAAATGCAAAACTCTTGATACTTTGAAGAGTAATAAAAAAATGAAGAATTGGAGCAGAACTTTACCACAGGACTTGTTTGTTCTCCCAAAATTCCTTCTTTGCCGTTTTTTTATTCTCACAGACTTCATGAACTTTAAAAATAAGTAACATCCGCTCGAGCAAATAGGCGTTTTTCTATGCTCTGTTTTTGTTGAAAGCTGTGAGAAAAATGTGATTCCTCCCACAATGTGGGTTTTACAAAAAGCCTTTTAGAGAGCTGAGGATATAGGTATACAAGCACAGCTTGTGGTGACAGCGGAAGTTAAGAGGTGCTTCAGGTCCCAAAGAGCCGTCCACCCATCCAGTACTTTCACAAAGTACTGTTTGTGTAGAGGTTATTTTCAGAGCTCTTATCCTGGTCTGTTGTTGCTCTCCCACCAGGAACAATGAGTCCCTGTTACTGTCCCAATTTTAACTGCAAAGTTTAATCATATTTAAGTTATTGTAGGAGCATTTTAAATACAGATAAAAGCTTTGTTAAGGGTCATTGTGATTCATTTGTTTGTTAACAACTGTTGTTCTTTAATTCCGCTCCCTTTTAAAAACCAAAAAACGGTTGTTTTTGGCTTGTTTTGTCATTTCTTCAGCATTACACTCGGGCCATTTGTTTTCATACTGGGAGCACATTGTCTCTGAAGATGAAGTTCAAGTAGAGTTCATCCAGCCTTTGATTTCAGCAATTATATTGTAGACTGTTGCAGTAAAACAGACTAAAAACAGACTCAAGAATAACATTAGTTCACGCCAGGCAGAAGTCAAGCTCTGCAGCAGTCGCTGCAGTCCAGCTGATCTCAGTCCCAGCCATATCAGCTGGTGGCTCAGCTGACATCCACCTCAGCATCCAGCTGGCAAATGTTATGTTAGGATCTACTGTCTAACCTGCTTATAGTTGCTGTGCATGTGCAAGCCACTTTGCAAGCCACTTTCACCCAAGCTCTTCCTTCTGTTGGTAGCTCCACCCATCCTGTGTTTTCAACATATGCATATGGAAGGGCGTTATAGAACAAAGGAAGTCACTCTTATTTTGACTGTAGTGGCTCTGAGTAAACTACACTTTTGGTGTTAAACAAAGCAGTTGAATGTTTGTTTGTTATTCCTCCTTTTTGTAATCTAATGACTGAGATATTTTATAACCATCTTTTTGTTTTGTTAACATTTAATAATGTAAAATTAACACATTTTAAAAGATGCTCTTGTGTACATACACAGACTGTATAAGAAAGATAGCACCCACTAATTTGCAGGTGTGCTTTTAAAATCCCAACTTAAAAAGCAGAGCATCATGATCATTACCATCTTGTTTCTTAGGAACCACATGTGACCATACAGTATGTTGTCAGCTAAGGCGAGCTAGCTTGGTTAGAAAGGTTCGTCCACAAACTACATCACCCAGACGTAGATACCTACTAAACAGTGCTAACCTTTAGCAACATTTGAGTGCGGGTGAAGCCTGTTACTCTGCTGCGGGCTCTTTCACTCACCTGTTCAGTACTGCATGACTTTAAGCGTCTGTGGAATTTCAACTGCTGGTGACTCTTTAACTCTCCTGGGGAAAATAGAGACCTGCAAAAACATTTACTGGCAGGGTTTATGTGCCACACAGTGTTTATAAGTTTATGAAGTTGAGCTGCATTTGGACTCATTCTTGACGTTGAAATCAGACCATAGACACACACAAACATGCACACACACATACATAGAAAGGACAGCTGAAATACCCACATGCTGCTTGGACGTGTCATTTCCCAGTCCCTGTTACAAACTGCAACAATTAGCCGGATGCGCTTGTTGAGTCGGTGACAAAACAATGTCCGAAGTGTGCCGGAGACTCCTGTCAACAGCACAGCGGGGATGTTATGACTGTGGAGTGTTCGCCTGTAACATCCAGGCTGGTCTCTTTGTTTCCCCCAGGGATCCAGAGTGGCAGTGCGGCGAGTTGAGCCACATGTAGGCCACATGCTCAGGGGTCAGTTTTTTAAGTTCAAGTTTATTTGGATGTCTGTTATTTGATGCAGAGCCTCTGGCTGTCTGTCTCTTGGGTCTTATAAGATATTCTTAAAAAGCCACGAAGAAAGAGAAGGAAAGAAAGAAAGCACAGTGCTGACCTGAAAGATGGGCTCATAATGAATCCCTGTTTTGAGTGGATCTTAAGCATTAACATTTGTGGTGAGATGCAGTCTTTTGGTTGGATGATGGGAAAATATTATCATTCATTATGTGACCATTGAATCAGGTAGGCAGAGAAGTTTAAAGACTGTGACAGATTAGGTGATCTAAGAGTTTATATATACTACTTGTAGTGTTATTTAATGTACACAGTCTAGAAAAATAACAGGACCTGCTGGGAATCAAGATTGAGTTTAAATATTTACCCTTTGAAGCTTGGCAGTAGAACTACAAGCTCCTTGATCTGCCTATGATTTAGATATAGATATACTGAATTAGTATGACCTATGCAAATTGGTGATGTTGTTTCATCCTTGCAAGCTTAGCTTTACGCTAAGAATCTGAATGAGTGTCTAGACTACAGACAGGCACCATCAAAACTCGTTAGCACTTATGTTTTATTGATGGTGCATGGTTTTACTTTAAGGCACTGTGTGAGAGAGTCTGTTAAATGGTTAAAGAGGTTGTTCAGGTCAGCTGAAGGGAGTCTCATGTTGAGTCATGTGAGGCTAGGACTGCTTGAAGGCAAACTCTGGCTCTAAATGAGTCCTAATTTGCATGAATGTCCAGCGTTTGATGTGTAAAATGGTTTCGGGCAGGATGAGGTATGTTTACTGCTGCACTCACTGCTGCTGTGGCATATTAATGCAAAGCACCTTTCAAAGAGAACCTTGTGTAGATTGACGCACAAATGGGAATAAAGCCAAGTGCCACTTCCTGTTTCCTGTGGAGGTGAAACAGGAAGAGGAAGTAGAGCTTGTACAGGCTGATGTACAGTTGACAGACTGGATCCTCTGAGGTCTGGAGTTGAGTAATTTGACCTAACCAGAAACATTTCTGTGCAAACTGGAAACCAGCTTACAGAGAGAAGCTTTCTGTCTGAATAAATGCGCTGAAGCCTGAAACTGCTGATGGTAATTGAATGCTAAAAACAGTTTTTCTTTTGTCTATTTTTTTCTTTTTCTTCTTTATTTTAGACATTCGCTATTTATTTTGCTTTTTAATTGCTGCATTTAGTTTTGAATATGAAAACCAGCTGTCTAACGTTTGCGTTCTGCCCTTACAATAACCAGTTGCCACAGTTTATTCTTATATCTGATGTTAACTTACTAACAGCATCAGATATTAATCTACTCTGGACATTTACGAAAAGAGGATAGATATCTTTTATTGACTCCAGTAGGGAAACTCATTCTCTGCATTTAACTCATCCTTCTGTAAGTACAAGGAGCAGTGGGATCAACTCCAGATGTAAGCTTGGTCGCAGTAACAGAAGACTCAACCTTGCATGTTTTTGCTGGCAGGCAAACCTGGGGCTCCTGGAGGAAACTGCAAACTGCAAACAGAGGGGCCCTGTAAGCATCCAGGACCCTTTTTCAAACCCAAAGCAGCTATCGTGTTGTTTTGGGTTTTGATATGTAATAAAAAGATCTCCATTAGGACACAGACGGGCTACCAGGTGTCACTTTTAGCCCAGTTCAAATGATCTTTGAACCATGATAGTGTGTCTGCATAGGAGAAAACGTATGTGAGATGCATGGCACTGCGTTACTGTGTGTTTCTCCAGGCATTTGATTACAGTGAAGCATTCTGGGGATCCAACAATGTGTGCAATCTTTCAATAAACAGCATGTAGCTTGATGGGGAGGACTCTCTGTGTAGGTTAAAGTGGACCTGGACAGATCAAAAAAGGCTGCAGATTATTAAATTGTGTCTTGTCAGCAGGATGCTAAAGTACCAATAATAGTCCAGTTACCACAGACTGATTGGTTCACACATTTTTGACACTGCCTACAACAGGTTGACGTTGGTCTACACTGCTTTGCATATTATTAATGCAAAATCACACTGTCAATTTAGACATTAATGGTGATAAATAATGTTGACAGGGAAAGCCTAAAGTCCTTTCAAAACAGACCTGGGCATTATACGGCCTCCTGACCACCTCCTGCCCCATGAGTGTCCCTGACCAGCCCGCCACACATCAACAGGAAGTCAGGACTCAAACCTAAATCTTGCAGTTGTCTTGTTTCGGTTGCCAATTACTCTTTCATACACCCCCCCCCCCACCAGAAATTCTGTTTCAGGGTGAAATCACAATATAACTTTGTTGCTTTTATTTTGAAGGCTACTGAAAGTTTTCTTTACACTCATGCATCTGCAGTCTCACTGTGGAAGCAATGGAACTGACGCTCATGAGAAGTGTGTTTTCTAGCCCCAACAGGCTTTAGCTGACACGCACAAAAAGATAGATTGATGCCGCATGCAGAGTTTTTAACAAACACATAAACCGCTAAGTATTCGTTTACTGAAGTCAGAGGTAAAGCCATCTGCTTGGTTTGTGGAGAGCAGATTACCATGTTTAAGGATTACAATTTGAATTATCATTATGAGACTAAACATTCAGAGAAATACAAGAACTTGACCGATGCAGAGTGGAAACAGTGGAAACATATTTGAACCTTTACTAGCAAAGCTGCTATGGAGTATGGTGCTAGAGTATAGGACCTGAGAGCAGGAGTTTGAGGGTTTTGGGAGAAGAATGGCAGATTTGAGAGAGAATAGAAGGCACTAGAGGTGGGAATCACCATACATCCCACGATACGATATTATCACAATACTTAACGCATGATACGATATTATTGCAATTTTTAAAAATATTTTGCAATATTCAGATTCTGTACATAAAGGTAAACTTTATCAATATTCATTTTATCTAATATCAAATTCTCACACTCAGTCTTTCTCTCATTTCAGTCAGTTTTATTGTTGACAAACTGAACGGTTTGTATTACAGTCTAGTCCAACTTAACTGAATGCAACCATCTGGTACAATTATAGCTATTCTGAACTATGCAATTTATGAAAACTATGCAGCCCATTCAGCAACTGAAGAATTTGAAAGTAAATAAACAAAATATAATTTTACATTAAATAAAAAAGTTTAAAACGTAATTAAAATAAAACGTGTCTTAAATTAAAATAAGTAAACTGTCATGTTTATTGCTGCCATAAAAAAGTTAAACATATTTGGACAGTGAAGTAATGTCAGGATTCTTGCTCAGAAAAAGGATCAACATGCTCTGAAGTCAGAGCACAAAAACTTTTTTTGTAACAAAATATCGATTTCTGCTGTCCCTGTATCGATACATTATTAGCAAAAAAAATATCACGATACTACACAGTATCGATTTTTTCCCCCACCCCTAGAAGTAGGGCTGGGCGATATATCGAGTTTTTTTTAAAAATATCGATATATTTTCATACGAGATATAAGATGTGACAATATCGTTTATATCGATATAGTCTATGTTACGTTATAATTATACTTGTGGAGCCGCAGGTTTGCCTCTCTTTCGTCCACTTTTGTCTCTACGCAACGTTACTCGGCCTCGCCTCTCCTTCACTGAACACAACTCCGCCTCCCCCATAGCTTCACCTGCAGGCAATGACAAGATGAAAGCGGAAAATCTCCGTTAGCGAGTTACCGTGTGTGGGGCTGGGCGGCGTCAACGTGTTAGCGAGCTAACTGCGCTAACGAGCTAACCGCGCTAACGACATGCAGCCCGGAGGAGCTGCACGGCCTAAAATCCTTTCATTTTTTCAAAAATCGACAGTGCACCTTATGTATGAATTCTGGTTGTGCTTACTGACCGCGAACCGATTTTATGTGGTACACAGCGCTCAGCAATCTGTCAAAAAATGTTTTAATATGACTTTGCTAAGCTACGGAGCTGCACCGCTTGATGGATTGTCGGAGGATTACAGCTACCGAGGAGGAGCCTCGCGGAGTGATATGTACTGTGTGTGTATAAGGACCACAAATGGCACCTGTTCAGAGACGTGGTGCAGCTGTGAAATCTGTCTCTTTGTTATTACGCTCAGCGTCTATTAGTTTACATTTTGACTGCACAATTGTGAGCTTTTTGTTATGCACAAAAACAACATTGTTTTCTTTTATTTATGGACCATGATTATTTAATAAATGCTGATAATTTATTTTTGAGTAATTTCTTCATGTACATCTACGCTGTATGTAAATAAAAGTGCCCGTGTGACATCTGGGACACAGTGTGACTAAGAACTCTCTTTTTGTTCTTAACTTATGGCTTTAAAAAAAAAATATCGAGATATATATCTTATATCGCCATCCAGCTAAAAAATATCGAGATATGAATTTTGGGTCATAGCGCCCAGCCCTACCTAGAAGGCACACTTACCTGTGGCTCTACTACAGTAGGCCCACCACCTCACAGCTGAAACTTGTGTGAACCTCTAATATGCAGATGCAATATCACTGGCTCATATTTTCCTATAGAGTTCTATTCAGGATTCTTTGTGTGCAATGTCTCTGGAAAACCGTCATGCTCAGATCAGGCGGCTCTGCTGTGTTTGCTTTTACTTTTTGTCCTCACTAGGATCTAAAGGTGCTCCAAAAAAATGGCTGACTTCAGTTCAGAATCACTGGCCCCAAACTGGTGCTTACAAACTTCTGATCATTAGAGTATTAAGATCTGTGATCATGACAGGGCATCGCGCCTGTCACCAAGCAACTAATACATGGAAATGTACCAGTTGAAGACCAATCACTGAGCTGCAGAATAGGCTTTGCTCTTTGTGGAGGGATTACCAGGCAGTGTGAAATGAGGTCTGATTATGCCCCCCGCTCCCCACCAACCCACTCACTGCAGAGTTGACTTGTCCTGCCCCCCCCCCAAATTTATGTCAAAGCATTTAGAGGCCACTGACAGAAATAGATCCATAATGGTATTAACTATAACATTGACACCCTTGCTCTTTAAACATGAAGACATCAGGCAGCCTTGCGATGGCTTGTTCTCACATGTATACACACACACGCGGAAACACACACACACACACACACACACACACACACACACACACACACACACACACACACACACACAGTCTCAGGAGCAGCTGTTCGGCCCACGCCCATAATCCCCGTAGATGGAGGAGATGTGTGCAGTGACATCTGCTTCTCCCAGTGTGGCCCTGTCATCGCTGGTTTGTCTGGGGCCATTTTTAGAGTGAACACAAACTCAAATGGAAAGTCATATAGTACTGTACTGAATATCATGTGTGCTGCTTTTGTGTCAGCTACGTTGGTTAAAAGCGGCAGAGATGTCAGAGTTATGGTCAGCTAAATACATACAGACAATATGTGACAAACACTACAACTGAATCAAACAATCATCTGCGTATAGGTAATAGAACCAAATGGGATTGTCTGTTTTGGACTTGCTGACATTTCATCAAATGAGTGAAAGAGTACCGATTGGGTAAACTTATAAATTAGCTGCATAGTGATACAGCGGTTAGCTTTGTAACCTCACAGCAAGAAGGTCATCAGTTTGAACCTCCCAGCCAGCTGGAGCTGAGTGTGTATGTTCGCCCTGAGCCTGTGTGGGTTTCCTCTGGGTACTCCAGTTTCCTCCCACAGTCCAAAGACACCGCTGGTTCCAAACTGTCCGCGGTTGTATGAATGCTGTGTGAATATATGGTATAATGTGGCTTTAAATGGCTGTAATAGATACCACGAGGGACATATTGGTGAAACATGCATAATGACTAAGTTTAAAAGGCTTTTATTCTGTGTACCTAGTGCAACCTCACTGTGGGAACTGTAGGATACATAGTCAGTCACCATATCTCTGCGCCCATATCTTTGCAATCTGTCTCCTGTAAATCCCCCCAGCTTTGCTGAATGTCTTATTTCATTAGTCTCCTAATCAATGTTATCATCATCATTGCCTGTAAAATAAACAGTAAATCTCATTTCAGGTTACATTTTACTGATAGAGTAGAAGTGATCCTGTGTTATAGCTATTGTGGGTGATATCCCTTTGTCATCACTGATTATTTGTTAATAAGTCCAGTAGTGAGTGCCCTGATGTCTTCCTTGAAAATGACACTTTTATTCTTGCTTTTCTTTTGTGCACAGGTGAAGGAGGAGATGCTTCTTGAAGCACTGACAACCAGGAAGACGGTGACTGTTGGAGAAAGGCTCATAGTGCCCTACAAGCTTGCAGAGGTAACTGCACCAGAGTGAGACACGTGCCCCAAATGCAGTGGCTTTGTCTCACCGTCTAAAGCTGCTAAATCTTCTATGAACCTCTAGTCCTTCGGTGCCACGACACATTTAAGAAAATGCAGCAAAACAATATTCGTCTGTTCTGCTTCTTGATGGCGCTGCTCTGTGGTGTCAGCAGGAGCGTGGCTTCATCACATCCAGTGAGTCTCAGTAAAAGCACGTTGTTGCTGAACGTTTTGTTTTGAAGTGCGTCATCTGTACTGGAGATTCTTTGTTTGTGTTTGCTTGCTTTAGAGTTTGTCTGGGGAGTTTGTTGTGGCATTCTCTTTTGATAGGGGTCTTCCTCTGCAACTTCCTGTTTCCTGTTAAGCCAAGCAGTGGCGGTTTGAGTTAACCATGTTCTTTAGACTCACAGTCTGAAGAATTTACCTCTTTGTTGCCTCTTTTGACCTAGATAAACTCCACTGAAGGGCATCAGAGTGCTGCTGAATATTAATATTCAGTGAAGTTTGCTTATCTCTCCCTCCAAGCTCAGCAAAGCACTGCATAGTCCTGCTCTGTGCTTGTGGCTTCAGGGCCTTTTGTCTGAGGAAGGAAATGCTACACATTGATTGCCTGTAACCCCGTTAAGCTCCACCTCTCCATCTGATCCACAGCCTAGTTTCACCCAACAATGGTTGTTCCCACTCTCCCACACCCCCGTTGCTTCAGTCATGTGTTCTTGTCTTAGGAATGTGCAACCTCCACTGGAATATACAGCACAGAGGCCAGAAACACGATCCTGCCTCAGTCTGTTTGTCTGTCTCTTTCTCCTCCAGTCGCATATGTTTCAAAGCATAAATTCACTTATTTTTGGACTGGCTGTGTGAGACAGGCTCAGACGATGTGATCAGAACTCTATTCCTGGATTAGAGCTGCATTTCTGATTAAATGATGTTCGCTTCTGGCTTCTGGTGTTTTCCCCCTCTGTCCTTGTTGAGGTGGTCGTATCTCGAGAAGAGCAAGAGATAAAAGGATTCACGGGTACCTGCAGAAACCTTCAGGTACTATGTCATCTGTGGAGGAAGTGGTAAAAAAAATAATAAAAAAACGAAAACAACAGCAGATTAGCATTATAGGAAATCCTCAACTATCCACTCAAAGAAAGAAAAACGTGTCATATATAACATGTTACTTTTAATTTGTGCCAAGATTTATGCAATCCATGGAGACAGGGCAGACTCGGTTTATTGCTCTAATTCAGATTGCGTACAGAACATTGTTATCTATCAAGTAGCAGCACATAACAGATAATGATTACTACTTCGCACTATATATGTAGACCGCAAACATATTTTATTAAAAATATTTTTTTAAAACAATATTAAAATGTTTCATAATGATGAAATTAACATTTAACATTAGATTAATATTACATATATAAATAAGGCACAAGTTTGGACAAACTGGTGGACTTCATGCTAGCTTTAACTCTTTACCCCATAAAGACGACGTTTAACACCTCAGTTTATGTCAATAAAGACGTGGCTCGATGACCATTAGAATAGTTTCTTGGTTTTTCCAAGAAAAACTCTGCACAGGCAGAGACCACCCTCACTAACCTCTGTTCGTTAAACAGGTCTAATACGAAAGAAACCACTCAGTTCAGAAAAAGTGTTTCAAGGGTTACTCCTTGTAGCCTTTCAGGAGGTAAAGAGTTCAGTTTAGCTTTTAGCTAGCTTTACATGGATGTTGCTGCAAATGCACTGTGTCATTCAGCCTGGCCTCTGTAGGGGAATGACCATATTAGGGAGATCTACTCTTCTAGTATCGCACAGGGCCAAGAGCAGAAAAAAACTGTCTGAAAAAATGAGTTTAGAGTCTGAAGCCTGAGGTTTTGGCTCATAGAGTTTGTTTGTCCTCATTATTTGAACGTTTGGCCACATTCAAGATGGGCATCCTCAGCTGTAAGAGTATATGTGTCACAGAGAATAAGGAAAAGTATAATGGATCCACCATAAGCATTATAACAGCGATCCTTAATTCAGCCTTTAAACTAAATCAAATACCAGAGGCCATGCCATTTCCCGCATGTCATCCCCCCACACTCTTTCCCCAGTTTCGTGTCCACTCATTGCGGCATCAGTAAAAGCATAATGCCAGAAAATCACACTCCACGTAAAATTAGAAGTGAAAACCTGCCCCGATCTGACGGAGGGTCGTGGGAGCGAGTCGAGGCCACCTGTGGAATCCATAACACGCCTGTTTTTATACAAAGGAAATGTGGAAAAAAGAACCTGGCAAATGTTGCTGGTTCTTCTCAGAAATGATTTCTTCCTGCTTGGATAAGAATGGTTGAGAAAATGTGCTAGGCAGCTGTCCCATCCACCCGCAGTGGAGGTGGGGAAATTTGGATGAGGTGTTCGACCTGCTGAACCTCAGCAAGCTGCGGATTGGAAGATGTTGGTTTTCTAACTTTATCGCAGACAGTCCCGAACCTGAGTGGACGATCTCTGGTTGAATCATGTAGCTCTTGGGGTTTATCATAGAGGAATAATGAGAGTAAAAGTAAAACCCAGCTCAAGCAGGAAGATTGTGCTTGGCAGCTATTGTTCTGTCATTCAAGCTTCCTCAAGAAGTTACTTACTACTACTACTATGACTTACTACTCCTACTACTTAAGCTGGCTGTGCCACAAATAGAGAAATAGTGCAATTACTGTTCGTCATGTCTAACTAAATGTTAAAGTTTCACATTCAAAAATATGTTTTGGACATTGTTTATAAACATGCATATTCAGAGTTTGACAGATTGTTTTCAGATTCTTTTGCTGAAAGTAGAACATTTCTTTCAGCAGAAATCTGTTTTGAGCTGCAGATTTTTTACTATCTTAGTTGTACGTAGTTTAAACATAGTTTAAAAGCCAGTCACACAAAAAGGTAACTCACACAAGTTTGGTGTGGAAATTTGAAGCCTGCATTGAGCAGTATCTCAGTAACATTTCAACCATCTTTATATATACATTAGCTGTCAGACGTAAGCTAATAGTGAAAGCAGGATATTTTTTTTTACGTTTTTTAAGTTGTGAAACGTAAAGAAAAAAGAAGGGTTGTTGGTCAAGAATGTGATGTCATAAAAAGGGGGTACGGTCATCTCAGGCACACAGGCCATCTGCTGCTCAAAAATACTGTTTTGTAACAAAAGAAATAAAGAAAAAAGATTTTGTTTGACATCAAGGCTCCAGCCCGGTCACGACCCTCAATTGGATGAGCAGGAAAAAATTAATGGACTTTATTAAATAGCTGTTATTATAGATATCCTTTGTTATCCAAGCTGGATGCACATAACTCTGACCCCAGTGTGATTTAGTCTGGGTTTAGAAGCGAGTGTGTACATGTGTGAGATCTTGATTGCATGCATGTGTGTGTGTGTCTGTAAGCATGCGTGGGTCCATGCTGGTCATGATAAGGCAAGCGGTTTGACAATTTTGATGTGGCTACAGATTATTTGACTCTACCACTTCCTTCTTCCTGTTTGAAAGACAGACATATTGAAAGAGAAGTGTATGTGCGGGGATCAGGCGTTGATGGTGGGGAATAATCAGACCCTCATTCAAATGGCTTCCATTCATCTATGAGGCGTCACTTTATGATAGTTTTAAGCTATATGATGATGAGAAGTATAAAACCACTCCCCTATTGGTGATGGATTGTAAAATGCATCAAAAACACCCAGTAAACATACATATATGGGCACTGACACAGATAACAAGTACATAAATGCAAATGAAAAACATATGCATACTGGCATATTGTGGTGAAATACCTAGATAAAACATCCTGCAGCGAGGAAGCTAGCAGGCCACGTGCAGTGTGAGCTCATGCTGGTGTTTCACGCCTCCTGTGGTTTTTCAAGGAGGAGGAACGAGAGAAAGAGATGGAGACAGAGAAAACAACAAGTTCCCCTTCCAGGGCTTTATAATCAGAAACACCAGCTAAGACCCAGTTTAACAGTCCGTATTGCTGCACTTTCCAAAAGCCTCCGATAAAGTCCTGCTAATTATTTCATCTGTTGCTTAGGTGGGCATTGAGTGAAACATTTTCTACGCATTTGCTTCCAGCCATATTCCCTTCTAGTTCCTAACTTGTCCCATTTTTATGAATAATTAAGTGACATGGCAAAATACAGAGACGACACGTGCTCAGTGGGCATGTCAAATGTTCACTTCAGATCTGCCAATCCCAAGTTCCTGCTGCAGCAATTAAATTGTGATTCTTTTTGTATTATTCATATCAATCTTACATAAGTCTGTGGGCACAGAAACGTCACAGGCCTGCCTGCTAAAAATATATCACAAGCAATCAATAATGTAAAAGAGAGGAGGCAGCTTTTAAAAATGCACGTTTTTGCTTCATCATAGTGGTTTGCTGCAAGACTTTCAGTCCTTCGTGCATCTGCGTTGGTGTGCTCGGCCTCTGCAGTTATTAAAATAGTGGTTAGAATAGGCCCAAAAAACTTTTAGTAGAAACTATCATCTCTTATGGTTTCAGCTAGCCCACAGATATCAACAATAAGTGTATGATCTGAGAGGAGAACACTAACATAGCAGCAAAGCAAAAAGACATACTCGGAGACCAACACCCCTGCTGAGAAAAACATGCCCTCCTTTGGAAGAACACCTAGCTAACCCTCTAAATGTTTTTGACACCTCCCTCATGGTAATCAGTAGTAACCTTTACTCTCATAGGAAGTCATTTCAACTGCTCCCCTCAAAGCTGAGAAAGGCTTAACTTGTGAGCCTGCACCAGCAGTTATTTTACTTCTTGCTGCTTGAAGGCAATGAATGCCATTGATATTCTGAAGACAGTGGATCGCCGTGCTCCTAATTGCTAGGTAGCAAACTGCTATAGTTAGCTAACAATACTGGTAGCTTTCTGATTTATCTACATTCTGCATATAACTGTTATAGGACTAAAACTGCATGTGTAGGAATACTGAGTCTCCAGATCCTATCTGCCAGAATCTAGTTTTTATCTCAATAAATGCTTAGCTAGCCTGGTATTAGTGCATCCCATAAAAAAATGGTAAATGTTCGATCATTCCAGTCTGCCTGCCAGGAATATTTGGGGTTACTATCTTGCCCAAGGATATTTGGGCTGCTCTCCGATGCATCCACTGGAGCATGACTGTGTATGAATGTTACATAGAAAGCACTTAAACATGTTGTATCCATCACTTTATAAAACGAGAGTAGAAAAGGACTGTATAAGAATAACTGGTTCTGCTGAAGGTTTCCTCCTGTTAAAAGGGAGTTTTTCCTTACCACTGTCACTAAGTGCCTGATCATAAGGGGTCTTCTGATTGTTGGGGTATTCTCTTAATTAACGTAGGGTCTTTACCTTACAATATAAAGTACCTTGAGGCAACTTTTTTTTAGGCATTATATATGTTGAATTGTGAAGTTGACTGACTTGAATTTGCCATAGGGCTTTTTGATAGTCACATGACATAAGGCTCTGTGAGGGATAAACCTACATCAAGATGAGAGAGTTATTTACAACAACACAACTGATTCTGTGATTCTTTTTGATTGTCCCATAGATGAAATCCTCTCTGATTGGATCACACTTAGCAGCCTTTTCGGATTGGGGTATTGCACAAATATTTTGGGGTTCCTGGCATAAAAATATTTGACCTAGCTGAAGCAGATTTCCTTTGTGTCATTACACTCCCTGTTCAATCATAATACTTATTAGTGACAGAGAACATGCTCTGGTGTCCAAGTCAGGTCTGCTTATGTTAGCTTAGCATGATTTTCATCGTCTCTAAAGAGAAAGAATAGTTGCTGTTTTGCTCATTGAGGCACAGTGGGTTGGGTTTTTTTAATGGATCACAAAGTGAACTATAAAAAATGTTGTGCAAATACTAATCTGTAGGTCTGGAGATACTTAAGGCTCTGGCTCATGACTGAAAACTCCAAAAGTATTACAGCACTGTGCACAGCGAGCCTACAAAACATAAGACCACTAACTCTGAGCAGACAGGGAACTTAAACAGGGGCTCTGTTTGCCCTTTAAATACAAAGTGGCTGTTGTTATACTGCCTAACAGTTTATTCATAACAGGAGCCTCGGGTACATTGCCTTTTCTAAGTTACAGTAGCACAGCCACTGATAGGCTGTTAACATTGATGGTAACTTACTCAATCTTACTCAAGCAAGTAGCTCGATTATTTTTCCTTAAGTAACTTCTGATTGTTGACTGCTGGCTCTTTTCAGTTGCCTGTTGCTGTAATTATACATCCTGATGTTTTGATGCCTAAAAATAAAATAACCATGTTATACATTAATGGAACAAAGGTTATTAATTTAGGTTTGAAATAAGAGGATTGATCCTCACGTGTCTGTAACATTAAATCACTCAATACTGTAAACTGCAAAGCTGCTACGCTGGTCATTTTAAACCACTTCAAGGTCACTTTAAATGATTCAACTGTAAATTGGAAACTTAGACTGTTATTGATCCTTTTTACCCTAATTTTAAAATGTATATTTATTCCTTTTATCTTTACCTCAGTCTTAAGTGTATATTTATTCTTATTCTTCTTATATTTATTGTTGTTTTTTGCACTGAATGGAACTGGAGCCTTGTCGCACGTCTCTCTATATACTGTACTGTATATAGCAGAGATGACAATAAAGTTAACTTTGACTTTGATTATGCTTAGGATCAATGCTAGCAACTAGAGAAAAACTAGCAATGCATTGCAAAAACACAATGCCAGTCACCTCTGCTCATCTAAATAATAATAATAAATCATGATCATATACACTTAGTGTCCATTATATTTGGTAGTACCACGTTGGATCTCTGGTTACTGCAGATTTGTCGACTGCACATCCATGATGCAAATCTCCTGCTCTGCCACATCCTAAAGATGCTCTGTTGGTGTTAGGGCCGAGAGGGCCAGGCTGTGTGTGTGCACTCAAATGCAGACACAGAGGGAGGCAAAACGGGCGTGAACACAGTGCTTTATTTACAGTGCCTAGTGAACTTACAAAGCAGGAAACTGTGGAAGCTATGAACTGTGGAAACTATGAACTGTGAATTGTGAGGCCAAACTATGAACATGAAACTCTGAGTGCTATGACTAGGTGCTAGATTTCACGGATGGATCCTGGGAATGGAAAAAGGGGCAGCGGCTTGGATGGAGGTACGCAGTCAGCGTTGTAGTTTAAAGTGTCATGCGAGGAGGGGGTGTCCAAGGGGTTCCGGGTGAGGAGTATCCAGAGAGGATCCAGAATATACTTGGAGTGAGGGACTTGGCAGGGAGGCAGGCAGGTGTAGTCCAATGATGGAAAGGAAGCAACCAGATGACAGAACCAGCATCCAGGCGGAGATGTGAGTAGTTTAGCTTGGGAAGTGCGACTGACAGGTGGGTCCTATGACAAAGAAAACACGGTGAGGAGAAAAGCAGTAGTTAAGGGGCTCTCACAAGGGCTTGGCGGCGTAGCACTAACGTGAGTTAGCAAAAGATCTGGCAGAGGTCTGTTGTGAATGCTGGTCTTATATGCTGGTGACTTGATTGGAACCAGGTGTGGAAGCTGATTGGAGTCTCTGCCTGAAGGTGGAGCCCAGCGGAGTGGAAAAACCCCGTACTCACCCGGACCATGACAGTTGGATTAAAATCTGGTGACTGCGGAAGTCGTTTTAAAACCGTGAACTCACTCTCATGTTCAGGAAACCAGTTTAAGATGATCTGAGCTTTGTGACGTGGTGTGTTATCCCACCAGAAGATTGGGTGCACTTTGTTCATACGGCAACAGACATGAGCATCAAATATACTCAGGTAGGCTGTGATGTTTAAAGGATGCTCAGTTGGCACTAAGGGTCAGGAAAAATTCCCCAGACAATTACACTACCAGCACCAGCCCGACCTGATGATACAAGGCAGGATGGATCCATGCTTTCATGCTGTTCACACCAAATTCTGACACTACGGTCTGACTGTTGCAGCAATGTTTGTTGTTGCACCAACAACCATGCCACATTAAAAGTACTTAAATGACTTCTCTGCCCCGTTCTAATGCTCAGTTTGAACTTCAGCAGGTTGTCTTGATCGTGTCCACTGGCTGAATTGATATCTGTATTAACTAGCAGCTGAACGAGTTTACACATAAAATGTCTTTGCGTGCATATTCAGTACTTTTGTGTGCATAGAGATTAAGCTAAGAAGACCATAACATCAGTCATTTAAAGTTGGAGCTTCTGGTATGTAGATTATTCTTGCAGTCAGGCTAACTTCTTTCCTGTGCTTTGAGTCTTTAGGCAGATCAAAGTTAATGTTTGAATAAATGTTGTTGTTTTCAGAAAAATCTGGATGAGGTTTTTGTTGCAGCCATCGCCAAATTATGAGCAGTTTTTGATTTAAAACACCATCCACTGATTCATTTTTCTCCATTGCTTTTCTGTCTGTTTAATCTCTTCCATCAAATGTTTCAGCTGCAGCAGGATTTTATTAGAACGTTTTCTCTGCCCACTTTACACATTTAACATTACAATGATCCAGTAACAGAACAAGTGGGGAAAAAAAGCTAAAAAAGTTACTTGAGCAAGACTGTGAGTGAAAGCGGTAAACATCCACAGAGCTAGCTTCTGTTTCAGATTATAAAATCCATATGTTTTTGATCACGTTGTTTGTCTGTGTGTGTGTTTGTTTGTGTGTAGGCAGGCACAGTGAGGGACTCCATGGCCAAGTCACTGTACAGCGCGCTGTTTGACTGGATTGTGTTCAGGACCAACCATGCCCTGCTGAACAACAAGGACCTGGAGGACAGTTCAAAGGTAGGAATGAAAACACACTCCACGAACACAGAGTCAGACACCTTTAACAAGGTCTAAACTGGATATCTCTGATTAGATCGCCTTTCCTCCAGTTATTGTCGTCTTGATTTCACCTGTGTGTGTGTGTGTGTGTGTGTGTGTGTGTGTGTGTGTGTGTGTGTGTGTGTGTGTGTGTGTGTGTGTGTGTGTCCAAGTGTCCAAATAAAGTGATCTCCCTCAAAATTCATATTAGAAATATCCTTCAAATATTGTCATTAATAATATTAGTTAGGTTACACCACCGGCTCATACCCTTAAATGGAACAGAGCTGTTATGAACTGTAGTAATTAAACCTGATTTTAGTACTTTTGTTAGACAACTATTATTATTATTATTATTATTATTATTATTATTATTAAACGATTATACCGTTACACTGAGTAAATATTGGCCATGTTGTTCTTTCTTCTATTTCTGTTGCCTTTTGTTTTATTCCTAGAGGCAGAGGGTGTGATATGTGTGTATACATGTGCGTGTGTGTGTGTGTTGGCAGCTGGCAAGCCAAACCCAGTGGGTGCATCGAAGGAATTGGAAAACAGATCGTTGTGTGTGTGTGTGTGTATGCTAGGAACATTTGGGCAGATGGCATCAAGTTCCCTTCAGCTCGGTTTACCCCCCATGGTCCTCTGATGTCCCAGCACTCTGCCTGTGTGTGCGTGGATGTGTGTACTTGTCTTATTCATATCGTGGGGGCATAAATCTATTTACACAGTCACATTGTGGGAATTTGCCCCTTTCTGTGGGGAAAAACAGTCCACAGGATGTAAATCATTTGATTTTAGGCTGAGGACTTAGTTTAAGGTTCGAGTATTGATGAGCAGTGCTTTAGCCTGCAGGAAATGAATGTAAGTCAATGCAGCGTCCTCTGAAATGGTGAAAACAGGAGTGCGTGTGAGTGCCTCCCTTGGCACTGACATCATCTGTCTGTGTGTTTGTCAGGGGTCGATGAGGGTGCAATTTCCATCAAGGTCATTGTTCTTATGTTCAGATACCAGATTATATATATATATATATGCCATGTGTTCTTGTATGTTTTTTATGCCAAACTATAAAAAATGAGCCTTCAGAGGGAAATAAAACACTGCTGAATAACATTCAATTAAATGAGAAGCAGCTTTTACAGTCCATTTCATAATTAAAGGCCTTCTCTGAGTGAATGCCTTCTTTAGATGGTGCATATTAATGATGCATGATGACATGAATCTTACTGACACCCGGGGGGCAAGTGAGAGGCTGGAGCAAGTGGGACGTAAAGGGAAACATCTCTAAATAAAGATGCTGTTGGTCAAAGCATCATGCATTTCTACTCATGTTTACAGTGTTTCAAAGGGAAGAGTCTTCCTTTAAAAAGAAATCACGCTGATTAAATCTGAGGTCTGCTGTCTGCCTGTTCCACCAGATCCTGTCTATAGGAGTGCTGGACATCTTTGGCTTTGAGGATTATGAGAACAACAGTTTTGAACAGTTCTGTATCAACTTCGCCAACGAACGACTTCAGCACTATTTCAACCAACACATCTTCAAACTGGAGCAGGTAGGGTAATGTTACTGTTTTTCCTTTCCTTTTCTTTCCTCCACACAATAATCATTGTGCAGCCGCTGATAACACGTCATTGCATTTTGTGTGTAGCTGGAACTACAGTGACGTTAAAAACGTGCAAACATTCAAACAGGATCTGCTTCTCGACGTCTGCATATGCACGCACTCAAAGCGGTGAGGTGGAGGGACATTAGTAATTTTTTCTGATGTGTGACGCATGGCTTCCTCTTTAGTTGAACCTCTGAACGCAGTATGTTAAAGAGGTGCTAGAAGAAAAGTGCTTTGATGTGCAAAATCAGTGCAGGTTCCTTTTAAGTCAGATGTGTCAGTACATGTGTCAAAGTCTACTTCATTTACAGTCAAACAGCAAGTAAGTAAAGCTTTATTTATATAGCACCTTTCAAGATATAAAATCACAAAATGCTTTACAAGATCCAACAATGCATAAAAGGCAAAACAGCACATTTAAAAAGATATGTTTGTAACTGGTTTTCATAAGAGACCACAGAGTCCACCAGTGTCAAATCCAAAGGAACAGATTTCCAGAGTCTGGGGGCCACTGAACAGAAGGCTCTGTCTCCCTTTGTTTTCAGCTTAGTGCAGGGGACCATCAGCAGGCCCTGGTCATAGGACCTCAGGGACCTGCCAGGGACATATGGATGCAGTTGCCCTCTGATATAACCTGGTGCCTGTCTGTGAAAAGCTCTCCAAGTCAATAAAATAATCTTAAATTCCACTCTGAAATAAACCGGAGCCCAGTGTAGCTGCATGAGGATTGGAGTCCCATTTGAGTCACATTGTGTTGTTTTTTGTCAGAAGCCTGGCAGCAGCACTAAGAGGTATAAGTGTCTCCTTTATCCCAGATGTGCATTTTTCTGGCACAAAGATAATTATTTCAGTTTTGTCTTGGTTTAGTTGAAGAAAACTGTCTGCCATCCACTGTTTAACAGTGTCTCATAAACTAAACTAAAATAAAGTCTTTCATAAACTGTGGAGTTTAAGCATTTCATTTGGGTGAAATTAGGCGTACAAGTGAATATCATCTGCATAGTAGTGATAGGAGATCCTTACAGGTTAACAGTCTGTGTCCTGGGGGAGCGAATACAATAAAAACAGCAGAGCCCCCAAAACAGAACCAAGGGGTACACCAACATGAACTGGAGGGGGAGATCTGTACTTAAAACTAGCCACAAAAAAAGATCTGTCAGATAGGTATGAAGAGAACCACTGTAAGGCCGATCCTGATACATCAAGGGCAACTGCATCAAAAGCTGAGATCTGGACAGATGCTAGGAAGCATCAGCTGCTAAGTAGTCATCTACAGAACATTCTGGACATGACAACTAAGGCTGGTTGATAACTTGATAATTTTTATTGAAAACATGATCATGGGAAACTCTTTAGTTCTTCATCAGCCTTAATCACGCCGGTTGTATTCCTCTGGTGAGCGTGCGTAGTGCTCCTGTGACACTACTGTGAAAGCAGCTGTAATTATGCAGTTGGGCTAGGGTAGCACACACATCTATTAATGTGAAAGGTCAGAGGAAAAAGTGCTGAATACTCAGAACAGGCTGACAGGCTGGGTTAGAGTGCATGAGTCAAGCTGAGCAGCATGGATCTGACAGCTTAGTGCTGCTAACATAGCTTTGTGCAGGTCGTTGGATTGACTTGTTTACTATTCATGCCTCCTTCTCTTTCACCACTGCTGCATCTCAGAGCAAACTCATCTGCAGCATCAAAACTAGCCTCTATGAGTCAAAAAATCCCACATCAGTTACATTATATATTCATGCTGTTTTATTTGGATGCCAACTGCTAACCCACGTAATATTCTGCGTGCCGTGTTGTTTCTGTTGTTGTTTCCAAATCACATCGAGTGGACAACAGAACTGAGAAGGAAAAATAGAGAAAGATCATTTAGGGGAGATTATGAGTCTCAAATCAGACGGACTGTGTCAGAGTAGCTGTCAGCTCTCCTCTCCCTCTTGCTGAACACTGATAGGCCGTGGCAATTTAACATGCTAGCTGATGGCTGACGGTGAAGCTAAGAGAGGAAGGGAGTGTGAAAAAAAAAAAGAATAATGGCAGCAAACAAGTGCAGTAAACGTCTCTTCAGTCTTAATGAAGATAACAAACCGGCAGTCAGCCAGTGCTAATGGCGCTGTTATCTGTTTCTCACTGTTAGCCCTCAGGCTACACACACATGCAGGATAACATTTTAACCCAGCCAGTATTTTTCTACAATTCAGAGAGGAGACTGGCAGGACTGATCAGAACGGATTGCAACCTAACTTCAAAAATAAGTCCTTATCTGTCTTTCTGCATCCAACATCTGACAGAGTGATTTGTATCTAAAAACTCAAGATGTGATGTTTTTTGCACATTTGACTTCAAATTTATAGAGATCTGTGAAAACAGTATTTCCTCCCTTTCTTGATTTCTTTGTTTTTTGCATATTTCTCACACTTACATGTTTAAGATTGTCAAACACATTTTAATATTAAATAAAGATAACCCAAAAAAATACAAAATCCTTTTTTAAATGGTGTTTTCATTTAAAAAACTAGCCAAACCTACCTGCCCCCGGGTTAAAAAATAACTATTCCCTAAAACTAATAACTGGTTGTGCCACATTTGGTAGCAAGAACTGCAATCAAGCATTTGTAATAACTAGCAATGAGTCTTTCACATTGCTGTGGAGAAATTTTGGACAACTCTTATTTGCAGAATTGTTTTAATTCAACCATATTGGAGATTTTTAAGCATGTATATGTTTAAGGTCATGTCAAAGCATGTCAATTGGATTTAAGGCCATACTTCAGCTAGGCCACTCCAAAACTGTCATTTTGGGTATTTTTTAGCCTGTCAAATGTGGATTTGCTGGTGTTTTTTGGATTAGTGTCCTGCTTGATAACCCAAGTGAGCTTGAGCTTCAGGTCACAAACTGATGTTCGGACGTTGTCCTTCAGGATAATCTGGTAGAGAGCAGAATTCATGGTTCCATGTTGTCATTGATGTGTTCTTGGAGTAATTTTGGTAGCCTATCCATTCCTGGGGAAGTTCACGACTATTCCAAGTTTCCTCCATGTGGGCATGTAGTGTCTCTCACTGTGCTTAGGCGGACTTCACAAATCCTTTGAAATGGCTTTGTAACCGTTATCAGACTCGTAGTTGTCAATGACTTTGTTTCTCACCTGTTCTTGGCTCTTTTTATATCCTGGCATGATCTTTTGCTTTTTGACACCTTTTAGCCTACTTCACTTGATCTATTTAAGTAATTTGATTTGATTGATTGATTTGATTTAACTGCATTTTGTATTTTTTCAGGTTAGTTTTACCAAATATAAAAAGTTGTTTGGTGATCTGAAACCTTAAAGTGTGACAAATATGCAAAAAACTAAGAAATTGGGAGTAGAAAAAATGTGTTTTCATAGCATTGGTGGCCTTAACATATTTCCAGTTAAGACTCTTTGAAAGAAACTATGCATACTATGTTTTTCTGCAGTGCTGTAGTTGAGCTCTACCAACTGAAGCACCGTGTAAGAATAAAAGATTACCTTAATTACATAAGTCATCATCTTATTCGTTTTAAAAGTACAGTAAATTTATTTATTTTTAGTTTGGTCTGTCACTGATGAATATCTCTGGTTTGTAAGGTGCTTCCATTTAAAGGCGTGTTCCTCTGTTACATTGAGTTAGTAAGAGTCAAAGTGCTCCTGAGATGGCCAGTCTTGCATCAAATATTGTTTCAAAAGAGTTCATGTTTATTATCCTTAATCACCGGTGTCCTCTGAAACTTTGGCTATCATTGAGTTTATCTAACAGAACAACAGCTGAGGTGGTGTTGGGCCCCTCTGAGGGAAGCTGGTAGAGCTTCAAAATAAAGAGCTGCCAGATCTCAACTGATTTGCGTTTGTTTGAATAAAATTGCGAGCCTTACTCTGATGTGATACGGAGAGAAAGCTCTTCACACCTACCTGTGTCACGGCTCAACGGCACGAGGGAACAGGGATGGACACAGGCGCAGAAACCAACCCGGAAGCGAGGTGACAGAAAACAAATGATTTATTTCCGCCCACAGGAAAACAAAGGTGAAACACAAAGCGACGCCACCACACTAGTGGCGCGTAGGATTCGTCTGTGAAAATGAGGGCGACCTAGACACCTCTAGGAGACGGCTGAACAGCGGGGACAGCGGGGAGGTAGAAACAGGACTAGGTAGGGGCCGGGCATTGGTTTCAGATGGAGGGGACAGGTGGAGCGGAAAACCCGGAAGCGGTCGAGGCGTGGGGAGGCAGGCAGGTGAGCAGTGGGTCGGCAGGCCACGTTGTGTGAGCAGCTGGCGGCCCAGGTCCAGGAGGACGGGAGCGAGGGGAACAAGATCTCCACTCCGGGTGCTATCGATGGGAATAGGAGATACTCAGGCGATGAGTGGTTGAGAGCGCAGGTCTGATATACCGCTGGCACGATTGCTCACAGGTGGTCAGCCAGGGAGGGGCAACCGGACTCCGCCTAAAGGAGGAGGAGCCGCTGTCTGAGACCTGCAGGTGCCCAACCAGACCATGACAACCTGTGGCTTTGTTTTGAGCCTTTGACTGCTGACCTCAGATCAGCTGGCACTCACCTTTAGAAGGTAACTAAACACTAATCATGACCCTGTAGGTGTTGTGGGGTGTTTGATGTCAAGTTTTATTTGTGGGGTTCAGATTACCTGGTTAATCCCAGAGGAAAACTCTGCCTTTCTGAGAGTTTTCTAAGATTTCTGGCATTAATAGATTACTGTTGTGCAGTCTGAACTGCCGTTGCTTAATTTTGTTGGAGTTGTACTCTGAGTATTAACAGTAGTATCAAATGAAATGGAGATGCAATTGAAATAAAACAGATCATATTGTCTACTTCCAGCTAACTGCAGCTCTTTACTCTTTTCTTTTTCACTTTAATTTTTTTAGTATTTTTGAAGATGTGATCTATTTTTTTACTATTAAGGTTGAATT